TATTGGTGGTTCAGGGACTCTCTTAAAGGTCAAAGAACAATTTCAAATAGGAAGGACCATAGGATATAATCACAAAATCATGTAGTAGCAAAGCAAATGACTAAGGTTACAATTGCTTATTTTGCAAACAGTATCAGCTTTGTATTTCTTTACAGTCATGTTAGCATTTAGCCACAGGTTCAAGAGACTTGATATTTCAATTACAAGTTGTTCATGTGACGTGCCAAGCAATGGCACAAAGGTTTTATTATATATGAGCATACACTGAATCTGTAGGTGGGATGTTTAGTGTTTCGCTACAACAAAAATGATGGACTTATGTCTGTCTTGCTCTTCAAATGCAATATCTAGTTTGTTCACAGGAATCTGAAGCTATTGTTTCACAGAACACTAGAAAAAGCATATGAAAGTCCGATTCCTGAGCCATATTCTCCAATCTTGTTTCTGCACAAAGCCTCTTGGATGGCATTGTTTCTTAATGTGAACCCTTCACCCAGAGAGAAACAGCAAGGTCTTAGAAAGCTCTTTTGCATCACCTAAAATTGAGAGCCACAGAGAGTCTCACAGGTCCCTGGCTGTCTCAACTCCAGTCATCTTGCCTGCCCCACTGGTTCGGCTGGAGACTACAGGCCATGCTCACCAGGCAGCCGCCCCTCCCTGAGAAACCCTGAACATTCGTGCCCTAATTTCCTAGAATTGAAATGTCCACCACATCTGCTCTTCACGCTCAGAGCAGCGCTTCACAACCGCTGCACAGCAGGATGGCCAGGACCTCCGAAAACTCTCAGTGCACTGCTGCGCCTGCATACAAGCTGAATCAGGAAGTCTGTGGCAGGAACTGGGCGGCCTTTAGAGATGTGAGATCCCAAGTGATTTAACATGAAGCAGTCTCGTGACCGCCATCATAGGGGTGTTATGTCACTGGGTTCCACCACTCCTTCAAAGACACCAGTCTCAACCTCCCTCATCCAACTGCGATGCTATGCTAAACCACACCAATCATTCTTCTTTAATCTCTGAGTGACAGGACTGCACTTGGCAACAGTTAAGGAAATGTACGCTCTATTCCCCATGTGCCTTCACTCTAGCCCATGATAACTGCACATTCAGTCCGGTTTCCTTGTTTTTAGCTTCCACTCCCTGCCCTGAACCTCTGTCACTCTCAGTTCCCTACTTCAGTGTCCTCGCTTCCCCTCATGGACTTCCCTTAAAAAACAGAAGCTTTAGAATGTTTTGCCCTAATTCCCATGTACTAACCCCAGAACACACCCATTCAAACATCAGCCTCTCCTCAATCTTTTCAATTTCAGAAAATAAGGTTTCCTTCTTTTCCTTCTTCCACATAGCCGATGCTCTGCCCCTAAATTGAATTTCCTCATTTATCAATGGTCAATTCTCCCTTTCCCACCTTGAAGCTCCCCCTCTTTGGTAGCTCTTCACCTTCAGCCAAGGACATTCCCTACCGTCTCCAAAACTACACCTCCATCTAATGGCTCTCTTGCTCCTTCCATCTCCTCTCATACAATTCGCTTGCTACCTGTTTCCACTTTTCCTAGTCTCTCTTTAATCTTTACAGTCTACTTTCTCCTGGGAAGATGGTCTGAAGAAAGGATACTCTGTCTTGGCTAGCAAGCACATTAGGTCCTTTGAAGGTTTAACATTGATTGCACTTAACATAGTGATCTCTTCTGCCTTGCTCCTCTTGAGTCCTACTTTGTTGACTAGCACATTCTCCTGGTTTCCCTCATAGGTGTTCCATTTCTCCTACCCTAATTCTTCCCCATCCTGCTTCCTTTAGAGCTGTTCTTTCTAAGAGTCTGTATATGAATGATCTCCCTTTCTTCCAAGGAACTAAGAACAAGACATATAGATGAAGGAGTCATCAATGTGTGGATCCTATTGCCCTATGACTCCCAACAAATATCCTAACATATGCAACACACGGGCACCTCAGGTTCACCATAAATCAAGCAAACAGCACTTTACCGTCCCTGTAAAACCTACTCGTACATTCAATATCACATTGATAGAGACACTTTCTACTCAATCAATCAGGGGACCTTTGAATAAACCTTCCTTATTACTCAACCCAATCAATCATCAGCTCCCACTGAACACAACTCAATTCAACTATTGAGTTTAAATTCTCCACTGTACTCCTTCTTATCAAATTTATTGACTGGCTTTCATGTAAAAATCCATATGAGTAACAAAATTTAAAGTTTTTTTTTTAATTTTGAAAGACGCTAAAATAAAAGGTAAAAGATTGAGCATCCTCCCTTGGTCCAAGATGATCCACCTTTATTTCCCACTATTATTGATCTCCAGTTGGATCTCCAACAACGTTGACGGTGCAGGGTCTCTCCACGGCCCTCTATGCTGAGCATATTGCTGCCCTTTTCTCTCTAAATATATTCCACACATCCCTCCTCCAAACAGCCAATCCTGATCACCGCAGGCTAGGACAGACTTCTGCAAAATTTCCTGCATTTCTCACCATGCCATTGGCTACAGAGCTTTGCAATTTATCTGTTCACATTTCCTAAGAGGAAATCATGTCTTATTTATTTGGCTCTCCAGTGCCTAACTAATCAATAAATGGTTACTGAACTTGACTGAGTCCATTATTTTGCAGCAAAAATATAAAAGTCAAAAAGTTTCAAAATACATTACATATTCTAATAAAGAATAGAATTTTTCATAAATCCTAAAAGAACTTAATTCTTCAAATTGCAAAAATATCAATAATTAGCTAAAAAAACTTATATTCAACTCCTCAAAGTAAAATTAAAGATAAAGAATCACTTATGAGGTCATAGATTGACTCTACTGAGTGTTCCTTGGCAATCTATAATTAAATTAATATTGGATGATTAAAAAACCAGGCTGGTCTCGATCTCACAGAGATCCGCCTACCTCTGCCTCCCGAGTGCTGGGAGTGATTCTTGTGTGACTTTTCTTTACGCTGCATCTGTTTAACTCTTTAAAGCTGTGTTACTGTGCTTGTCTAAAACACCTGATGGTCCTAATAAAGAAATGAACGGCCAATAACAAGGCTAGGTGGAGCTAGCAGACAGAGAGTATAAATAGGAAATCTGGGAGGAGAGAGAACAAGGAACAAGAGAACAATGAGAGGAAGACACTAGTGGCCAGCCACTAAGCTACACAGCAAGCCACGGAGAAAGAAGTAAAGTAAGGTATACAGAAAAAGAGAAAGATAAAAGCCCAGAGGCAAAAGGTAGTTGGATTAACGTAAGAAAAGCTGGCAAGAAACAAGCCAAGTTACAGCCAAGCATTCATATCTAAGAATAAGCTTCCATGTATGATTTATTTGGGAGCTAGGTGGTAGGCCCCCCAAAAAGCCAAAGATATCACACAACAGAGAGGTCATGGGCCCTAGGGGAAAACCTACTACTATTATTCTGCTAAAAAAAAATATATAGCGATAAAATGACTCCTAATGACATTCTGCTATCTATACCCATAAATCAGTTCACTGCTAAGCCAACATCAGAAGCTTCTTCATTATATTATATCACAACTAACACAGAGACCTACAAATGGACAATGTGAAAACAGTAAGAAACCTTGGAGATCTCAGTCCTAAAAGGAAAATTTTATCAAATCCCTTCCCTCAAGGCTTAGGGATCTATCTGGAATTAAAAAAAGGAAAAGCTTCTAGGAGCCAGAGGTAGTAGATGACTCCAAGGAAACAGCATCTTCTAGACACATCACAGTGGATGCACATAGGAATTCACAGAGACTGTGACAGCACGCACAAACAGTTGAGAGAAACCCTTAATGGTACAGCCAACATACATTTTTCATGAAGTGATTATCCTGCAGCCTCAGCTTCCTCGGCCTTTTCCCTCTTCTATAACCGATTCCTGTGTAGGCAGGAATCTACAGCAGCTGTCTGCTGCTTTTACCACCAACTGCACTATAAAATATCCTAGTCAAAGAGGGGCGAGCAAGACTGTAAAGGCGCATAATGAACCAGACCACTCACGAAAGCCATTCGTAACTAGGACTATATACTGCATAGTTTTCTACAATTCTCCTGCTATATAATTATTTTCCTGTTTTTGTATTTCTAGAAGTTATCATCAAGAAAAAGAATGTGTCTTTAATTCTTAAATTTATCAACAAGGAAAACAAAAACAAAACACAGACACATGCTTTCTTTAGTACCTTGTTTACACATACGCACAGAATTAAGATCATGTCAAATCGTATGAAACAATGACTTCGTAGGTAAAATATATGATTCTTTGAAATGAACGAAAAGCACAACAAACCCATCTAAGCTGTGATTTCTCCTCAAACTTTAGAGCCTGAACCTGAAAGCATGGAGCAAAGCTACAGAAGGATTCCCCAAGTCTAACTAATGAAATATAAAATACAACAAAGCCAATAAAACATTAATGTCTGGGGAAACAAAAAAAAGCTTGATCAAAGGGTGATATCAGTGCCAATTACTGGAGGATGTGTTTATGGAACAGTCTGCAGTATTTCATATACTGCCAGAATTCGCTGATTAATGGCTAATTATCAGTTTACAGGTGAGCCTTTCAACCCCTTCAGCATTTATACACAAGTTTAACCATTGAAAAAATGGAAACGAAAACCACACAATGAACAAAGGGCTGAGCTTTGTAAAACAAAGGATGGGGACCAGATTAATGGCTTGGGAATGCTGGTGCAACCTTCTGCCGAATGGAGATTTAGCTAGTGTCTTGATGGTAAATGTCAGTTAGAAAAATAAAACTTAGTTCATTAAATATAGTTTTAAGATATTTGAATGGCAAAAAAAATAATTTACTTTGTTAAAATGTTTAGTATGGCAAACATTCCAAAGTTATGCTGGATACATCCAACTAAAAAAACTACAAGATTATTTTGCATCAGTGTGGCCTCTCAAAATTCAGAGACACCCAAACCTAAATGACCTAAATGACCTCCCATGGAACCCACACACTGAAGCAACATACAAAGCTCACCTTATCAGAGGCCTCAGAAGCCAAGAGGTTAGTTGCAAGGGTTTGCAGCTTATGGTGGGCCATATTTTTAAGGGCAGCAAGACTCCGTCTTGTCATGGCTTGTTTCAGGTTGACTGCGGGATGACTAAGAGAGTCTACTGCAGCAGGAACGGCCTCATCGCAAGCGTTCAGTATCTCCACGGCCGTTATCCCCATCGCACAGCGGTCCAGAGCACCTGGAAGGCAGCAGGGCCGCACTTAGGTCACAATCCTATGAACTTGTGTTTGTCTGGGTACAGAAAGGGAAGGGCATAGTAGTTTCTGTAGGAATGTCTCATCAGTACTCACTCATAAACATTCCCTTGTGCTTCCTTTGTATACTCAGTCTCCATGTAGAATCCACAATTATTCCTCTCCCTTAAGGCTTCGCACACCTTCCCAGCAAAAGCAATTCAAAGCCACGCTTTTCCCCTTGTTTCCCTGGTGGTGTTCTTGACTAGTCTGTCACTTCCACATCACTTACAAACACCAATGAGCTCACCTTTCTTGTAGTTGTCTATCGACATTAAACAACAACAAAACTATAAAATGGGTCCATTTTCTCCTTCAATCATTTCTGAAGCCTTTGTTTCTCTAAGGAGCATCCAATAACAGGAAGGAAAGGAAGTATTCTGTCTTCTCCATTTAGTCTTGCAAAAATTTCTTCTTCATTGCTGCTTATCAAGCCCAGGCCTCATACATACTAGGCAGGAAGTGTCCTACCACTGTGCTACACCCCCTTTGAGAGTCTTAGTTTCACGAATTAAATGTTTCCTGTGTGTATGAAATAAGTATTATTTATACTCAGAGCTACTTCAAGTACCTCCTCTTGCCTTCCCTTCCGTTTATCTCCATCTGCACACTTCTTAGGTTAGAACACAGACCTCCTCCTGCATAACCTGAGCTTCATTACCACCTTTCAGAATCCCAGATTATTTTAATTTCTTTTCTGTTTTAGTGTCTCCATAATTCTAATTACCAGCTCACCAACTGTATATTAAATGTTTTAAAGATAAAATTATTCTTATGGCTGTTTTGGCTGCATGCATGTGTGTGCACTGCACAAATGCTTGATGCCTGCAAAGCCTAGAAGAGGGAGTCAGAGCCTCTGAAAGTCGAGTTGCAGACAGTTGTGAGCTGCCATGCAGATGCTGGGAACTGAACTTGAGTCTTCTGCAGTAGCAGTAAGTGCTCTTAACTGTGAAGACAGCTCTCTTACTTAAACTTTTACTTGCCTCTTCAAGTCCAGAACTATAAACTACACAAGAGCTAGTCAGTTGGGGGTGTTTTGTCACTCTAATATGCCTATGTGTAGCATTAACTACTAGTTGGCCAATTGCATATTTATTTGATAGCTTCAGATAGAGTTCTTGCAAATCCATGGTGGGGAAAAGGAAATAGATAGAAACACGGAAGCCAGATTTATTTTGTATTTCAACACTTTGTTTTTCCTCTTCTTGCTGTTCAAGCTGTAGCTAGTGATATAAAGGCCCCTGTAGAGTCAGGAAGGTACATCCTGAAGGTACTGACATTATTTATTTATTAAACTTATTTATTTATCATATCAATAAAAAATGAAGCTCTATAAATCAGATTCAGGCAGGATTTGATGTATGAAATGTATTTAAACTCTGAAAGCTACTTGAGCCATCAACATAGTGTCTGGGGAACCGGGGGCTCAAATGTGAACCTGCTCACACTGAGTGCTTTTCTGCTTGTTTAAAAATCACCTCTGCTGGTTGAGTTTAGGTTAGATACCCTCAAATATCTCTCTTACTCATTCTTGTGTCATATTTCAGTTGCTGTTTTTCTTTTGCAAATGCAAAGGGATTGCTTGACGTTTTTTATCATTGAGGGATACTGGCTTTGGTTTTATAATCTATAGCCTTAATTATGTTAGAATATGTTCTTTCAAGCCCTACAAACTAGGCTTTTTTATTAAGAAGACATGCTGGCTTTTAACAAGGGATTTTCCTGCATCTTTTGACGTGATCATGTAGTTTTTGTCTCTAAGCCAATGTATGTGGTTTATTACATTTACTGAACCATCCTTGCATCTCTGGGAAAAAGTCGACTTGGTGATGGTGAAAATCCTTTTGAGGTATGCCATTAACTGGTTTGTTATTGAGTTTTTTTTTAATTATGTTAATTGGACAGGTCGGCCTACGGTTTCCTTTTTTTCCGTGTATTACCTGGTTTGGGTACTACAGTTAGGCACACTGGCTTCATAGATAGATTTTAAAAGTATTCCTTCTGCATCTATTTTTTTTTATTAATGTAAGCAGGATTAGCTGTAGATCTTAGAAAGCCTGGTAAGATTCTGCTGTAAATCCATCTGGGTCTAGCTGATTTTAATCAGAAGGCTTTTCTCTTCATTTATTGTGGCTCTGTTAGATTGTTGATTTCTTCTTGGTTTAAGTCTGGTGGTTTGGATGAACCTAGAAATTAATTCATTTCATTTATATTTTCCAATTTAATGGAGCACAAATTTTTAAATTATCCCTTTATGACAGTCTGAGTTTGTTTGGTATCTGAACAATCTGATAATCTATTTATCATATATTGGTTCTTTGTATTGTTTTGTTTGTTTCAATAATTTCTGCTCTGGTTTTTATTATTTCTTTTATGGTCTAGATTTTAGTATCATCAAGTCAGTCATCTGGGTTCCTTCTAGCTTTTAATTTTATTTTTTTAAATATTTATTTATTTATTTATTATGTATACAGTGTTCTGTCTGTGTGTATGTCTGCAGGCCAGAAATGGGCACCAGATCTCATTACAGATGGTTGTGAGCCACCATGTGGTTGCCGGGAATTGAACTCAGGACCTTTGGAAGAGCAGACAATGCTCTTTACCACTGAGCCATATCTCCAGCCCCTCCTTCTAGCTTTTTAATGTAGGCACTTAGAACTATAGTTTCACTTGCAGAGCTATTTTATAATGTGTCCCAGAGGTATCACTGTATAGTGTTTACATTGTCATTTAGTTCCGGAATTTTTCTATTCCTTTTATTTCATTGACTGTTCAACATTCAGTGATTATTTGCTTCATTTCAATGAGCTTTTGTACTATATACAAGTCATGATTTGTTTGCTGTTAATTTTAAGCCTTGTAGCACTATGTTCAAATAGGATACACAGAACTATGAATAATATGCTGTAGGTCCTATCTTCTCAGGCCTGTCTGCCTGATGTTCTGTGCTACTTGCATCTGTATGGGTGTGACTTTTCCTTGATTTGAGGAGTTTTCTCTGAGGATGTTGTTAAAAATCTTATCTATGTCAATGACTTGCATTCTTCTCCTTCATCTATGTCTATAATTCAAATATTTGGCTTTTCATAATGTAACAAAGTTCTTCCAGGTTCCTTTTGTCTTTTTCACTTTTCATATTCTTTCTTGAGTGGTCCAATTCCTCTACTTTATCTTTGAGACATGATATTCTGTCTTATACTTGGTCCATTCTACCTTAAAGGTTTCCCCTGAATTTTCTAGCTGGGATATTAAAGTTTTCAATTCCATCTTGGTTTCAGCTTTATTTCTCTTCACTATTTCTACCTTTTTAATGATTTTGGTTTGCAAATCCTCTACAGTTGTTTTTATCTTTTTCTACTGTTTCTGAGCATGAGACAAAACTAGCTCTTTCAACTTGCTTGGCAATTAATCCCATGAATAGCGTCGACATCACTGCAAATTTGTCGTCCTCTGCACATTATCCTCAACTGCATGCCTTTAAGAGCTGTCAAACCACTCTACAAGATTTACAGATTACTCCAAAAAGATGGATGCTACATAGGCCTTTATGGATAAAAATAATATGAGAACGGATAGTTATAAGAAGTATAAATACATTATTTTCATATAAAGAACTACGTTCAGGAAATCAAATGCATCCTTTTAACTTCCTATCCCTTCTTCATGTTTATGCTTACCAGTGTCCATCTGCCAGACATACACAGAGCCGTCTGTGCATCCCACCACCAGGTAGTCATCCGACGGCCTCCACTTGATCACCTGAATAGGAAACAGGTGGCGCGATGCCAACATGATGCATTTTTTCTCCCGTAAACTTAGAAGTCCTACTGAGTGGTCACTGGCTACAGAACAGATGCAATGTTGAACTCTTGCCTAAAAAAAGGAAAAGAAACCTTCATTATATTTACATTAAAAATAGAGTAAGATAGAGCTTGTCTCCCAATAACTTAAATGAAAATTACTTATATGTATGTTCCACTGAAAAACAACCACAATATTTAGATATTTTGAACAATTTCTTCCTTGATGTTATAAATTAAAAGTTTGGGGTTCAAATGGATTTGCTTTTAAATTCATATAACGTAAAAGTTAAAACTGGAAGGCTGTCATTAAAATATGAAAAAGACTTCACAAAAATGATTGCCTTATATATATATGGGAAGGCAGAACAGGGCAGCAGGGAGGTAGGGGTCGGGTGATCTGTCAAGTGGTCTCGTCCCACAACCTGAACTAACTTTTGTTTCCTAAGAGAGAAGCTTTCTGTGGTGTATTTATCTTTCTGTCCAGGAGTCATATAGGCCCATGCTCCTCCCTGCCCTTTTGTCCCAACATCATGACCTCACAGAACTGCAAGAAAATCATTCCTTGAGGACCACAGCTATCACACATTATCTGCAGACTGACAATCCTGTCGCCGTTGTGGTCTCTGCTTATAATGGCAGAAGGTGCAGCACTTTACCTAACACAGAGCTGGCTGGACGGTCTTCAGTGTATTCCCTGCTCATCGCTAACCTCTGCCCATCAATTTCCCTTTAAAACAGTACCATTTACAAATAAGCAGAGAAAGATTTTCACTAGCAAGAAAGCTGAATCTACAGTACAGAAATTAAAATCTAAAGACTATGAATGTCTATAGGACAGTTTGTAAGCAATTTAAAACTTAACCATATGACATCTGAATGTATTATGACTACCGCTCTAGAAATAAGTCCCATAACACTGCACAGAATCTGCTTTATACACAGGGCCTGGAAGGGAAACCTGCAAATAAACAATGCTCTGCTTCTCCTGCCCAAACACTGCGCTGTGAGCTAAAAGCAACATTTCCCTACTTCTCCAGGAAAGAAATGTCAACAGTTGTCAGGTGAAATGGGCAGGGAGCAAGGGGACAGCAAGTATGTAGGAGGAAAACTGGAGGTGCATAGCTCTTGTTTTATTGACACTGTTTTTGTGTTTGCTTTGCTTTGTTTTGAGCCAACTGTCTTGGTTTAGACCAAGCTGGATTTGGATTTATGATACGCCTGCCTCAACCAACCAAGTACTGGAATTGGAGGCTTTTTTGAATGTACCATGTGGAAGATTTTACAAGAGGTGTCTATCACCCCACATCTATGGATATTTCTGGGATTAGTAGTTCTCCTTGGCACTATATGTTTTGACAATAGAAATATGATCAAGTCTCTTAAGACAGAGGTTGAACGTTTAAAAACCATTGAGAATGACAACAATCTTCTCAAGAATCAGTTTGAAGTTCTCCAGAAAGAGAACAGATCTTTGTTTAACATGACTCGGTTAACTGAGCAAAACTTAGAATAGGTACAGGCTGATGTTAAGGAGAAATTCATTACAATGGAAGAAGGAACAGCTGCTTTGGATTGTAAATTCCAGCAGTCCCTTTCCATAGGAACTGAAACATTAACTGAGAGAATCAAAACTGCTGAATGTGACAATCGAATTTTGTCTAATGCTTATGACAGATTGGCGGAAAGATTGTCAATACAAGAAGGCACGGTTTATGCCATAAAAATTATGTCCAAAGATGACAAGTTATCTCTAATGGACAAATTTCATACTTTAGAATCCTCAATGAAGGCTTTGGAACATAATTCTGGACAAGAGATTCAGACATTGCAGAAGGCAATGGTGAATAGAATTGAAAAGATTGAGGAATTTCTAAATTCTGATGAAGTAGAGCAAAGGGTAGAAAGGCAAATTTTAACTACATCTGTGCATAAATCCCTCCGGGACAATTTCCACAAAGCTCTACCTACAGCTCAACATGCCTTTCCAGTAATAACAACAGAAAAGGAGGTTGGTTCCAGAAACCCTAGGGTCATCAAGGAAGATACATGGGAACCTGTCCGTATGAATGATCTTAAGGAAATTAAACAGGCCGTCATGACTTTTGGGATGCACGCCTCTTTTGTTAAAGAGATGCTAAAATCTTGGGCCACAACAAGCAGAGCAACCCCCTCGGACTGGCTCCAGCTGAGTTCCGCAATTAAAATGGAAATGCTTATTCAGGCAAGAGGCTAGACTTTTAGAACAGCAGGAAAAGGCGAAGGGAATTGACATTTCCCCAGATAAAATTCTAGGTGAAGGGCTCTTTTCCGACCCTCAGGAACAAGCTAATTTGGATGAAAACATACTCTCCATGTGTACTACAGCAGCCTTAAGGGCTTGGGACAGAGTACAAGACCCAGGACAGAGAAAGGAATCATTTGTCACAGTTAAACAGGGTCAGAGAGAACCCTTTAGTGACTTTTTACAAAGATTAACTAAGGCTGTACAAATAGGGATATCTGACCCAGAAGCAAGACGTATAATAATTGAGTCTTTGGCTTACGAAAATGCAAATGAGGAATGCAAAAAGATCTTGGGGCCTTTAAAGTTCAGATCAGCGTCCTTGGAAGAATGGGTCTTGCATACACTAAATGCTGACACATTTGACTATGGCACTGAAGCATGGGTAGGAGAAGCAATTTCCAATGGTAAAAGGAGACACCAGAATACCAAATGTTTTAATTGTGGCAAAATGGGTCATATGAAAAGGAATTGTAAACAACGGATTTTCAGAAATAATAATAATGCATCTTCTACAAATAACAGAAATAGGAGGACTCAGCCTTCAGGTTTATGTAGAAGATGTGGAAAAGGCAGACACTGGACGAATGAATGCAGGTCTACAAGAGATAGACAAGGCAACCTGATACAGACGGGAAACGTGAGAGGGGGGCCTCACAGGCCCCCATGGCAAACATGGTTCAGACATTTCCAGTTTCTGCAGAGAACATGCCTCGTCAAGAAAATTAGGAAGCCACATGCCTACTGTTACAAGCAATAGTAATAAGAAAGATGAGTTACGTGTGTTTTGGCAAACTTCTATAAATGATCAAAGACCTAAGCTGAGAGTGTGTGTAAATGGCATTTTTATTACCGGCTTGCTGGACACAGGTGCTGATTAAGTATCATTACCCCAGAATCTTGGCATCCATATTGGCCTCTTCAGAATGTAAATGTTCAGCTCCTGGGAATTGGAACCCTATCACGAGTAAGGCAGAGCACGAGATGGGTTGAATGTATAGGGCCAGAGGGACAAATAGATATGTAGCTAATATTGCAATGAATTTATGGAGTCGTGACCTATTACAACAATGGAATACCCAAATTAACATTCCTGCTACTTCTAGAGCCTATATTTTTGAAAATAATGTTAAAAGATATTACCAACGGAGAAAACCAGCCATTAGGGCTGTGCAAGAACAAGCAATTGATGTCCCTTCAGAGATACCAACAGCCTTGCCTCTAAAATGGTTGACTGAGAAACCAATATGGACAAAGCAATGGACTTTAGCTGAGGAAAAGTTACAGGCTTTAGAACAGCTGGTACAAGAACAACTAGATGCTGGACATATAGAAGAATCTACCAGCCCTTGGAATTCTCCTGTATTTGTGGTTAAGAAAAAATCAGGTAAATGGAGAATGGTGACAGATCTCAGGGCCATCAACAAGGTTATTCAACCTATGGGCCCTCTGTAATCTGGAATTCCTTTGCCCTCTTTATTACCAAAAGGATGGCTTCTCATAGTTATTGATCTAAAGGATTGTTTTTTCACGATACCTTTGCAAAAAGAAGATAGAGAAGAATTTGCCTTCACAGTGCCTACTTACAACAATTCTCAACCTTCGAGGAGGTACCATTGGGCCGTCCTCCCCCAGGGTATGTTAAATAGCCCCTCCCTGTGCCAATATTTTGTGATCCAACCATTGCAAATAATATGCAAGAAATTTCCCAAATCTATAGTATACCATTACATGGACGACATTTTGTTATCTGATTCAAACATAGATACCTTGAACAGACTGTTTGAAGAAATACAGATACTGTTACCTAAATGGGGATTGCAAATTGCTCCTGAAAAGATTCAGAAGGGAGATTCTGTTAATTATTTAGGTTATAGAATAGGTTTGCAAAAAATTAAGACACAAAAGGCACAAATTCAGAGAGATCGCCTGCGGACTCTTAATGACTTTCAAAGACTGTTAGGAGACATTTCCAGTCTACGACCAGCTATTGGAATAACACCTGATCTAATAATTCATTTGAACAAAACCTTGGATGGTGATAAAGATTTAAACAGTCCCAGAGAATTAACAGCTGAAGCAGAAAAGGAACTGACAATGATTGAGGAGAAATTACAACAGGCACATGTGGACAGAGTGAATCCAGAGCTCGATTGTATTCTCGTCATATTACCATCAAAGATTTCTCCTACAGGAATTTTAATGCAGAGAGATGATATTATCTTGGAATGGATCTTTTTACCACATAAACCAAGTAAGAAACTGAAAACTTATGTGGAGAAAGTCTCTGAGTTAATTATAAAAGGCAAGCTGAGACTTTGTCAACTAGCAGGTATAGACCCAGCAGAAATTATAGTGCCTTTCACTGCTAATGAACTAAAGAAATTATGGGAAGATAATGAACCATGGCAAAGAGCTTGTGCTAATTTTTTTGGGAGACATTAATAACAACTATCCAAAAAGCAAGAGGCTTAACTTCATAAAGAGAACTTCTTGGATTCTTCCTCGAATCGTCCGTGATGCTCCAATAACTGGAGCCCGTACATTCTATACTGATGCCAATAAATCAGGGAAGACAGGTTACAAATCAAAAGACTTGGGTAAGGTGGAACAAAGTCCTTATGATTCTGTCCAGAAGGCAGAATTATATGCCATTCTTATGGTACTAAGAGATTTTAAAGAACCTATTAATATAGTTACTGATTCACAATACGCAGAAAGAGTTATTTTACATATTGAAACTGCTGAATTTATACCTGATGATACAGAACTAACCTCAATGTTTATCC